CTGACTTCCCCTCTCCTGTTTCACTGGGATCTTCCCTCGCGGCTGGGGTTGCCGCCAATGCCGCTGTCTGACGGTGCTCCGTCAGCTTGGATTTCACGCAAAGTTTCACAGTGGCAGTGGGCGGCGAGGTGCCCACTGGCTGCTTTAGGACGGTGCCACCCCACTGCTGATGGCCGAAAGGTTTCAGTGGGGGTTCGATACATTGCTGACAGTTACGGTGCAAGGACTTCGAATTCGGCAAGTGTCGTTACGAGCGTTCACTTTCCACAGGAGCCCATTTGGCACAGTCAGGGTTGGCAAAGCCACGGCTGGCACAGTCAGGTTTGGCATAGTCAGCGCGGACAAAAATGGCACAGCCACGATTGGCACAGTCAGCATCAACTGCTCGAGTATATGTTTCTCCCCCCTCCTCTCACACCGTGTGCCTGGCGTGCACTTCCTTCCCTCCCTTCCTGCATCCTAATGCTGCAGCGGTTAGCTGCCACACCGGGGTACCTACCGTGCCTGGCGTGCACTTCCCTCCCTCTCCTCCTGCATCCTAATGCCACAGCGGTCAGCTGTTGCACAGGGTGCTCTCCCTCCTGTTTCACAGAGCTCTTCCCTGGCGGCTGGGATTTGCTGCCCAATACTGCTTCCTGATGGCGTTCAGGTGGTCTGGATTTCATGCAAGGGTTCACTCAGGGAACGGTGCTGCGTCGCATTTGCTGAAGTCAGGTCCCCCCTGGCCTGCTCCTGGCTGGTGTCGGCCCCGACTGATGACCGGAAGGTTCCAGTGGGTCTCTCGCTACACTGCCTACCTTACGGTACCTGGACCTCGGGTTCGGCAAGTGTGGCTCTGTACGCTCGTTGGCCGACGTTCTCCTGCATTGACTTCGTTTTCGACAAGTGTTACAGGTTTTACTGCCGTTTGCAGTCTTGTCGGTGATGAGGTTCCCCCTCCTCACTCTTGCGCCGACACGATGTTTTGGCATTTGTGTCGCCTACTTAACGGATGTCGTCTGGGTGTGCTTGTCGGTCTAGTTCGTCTCTGACGGTGCTGTTTGCCTGACTCTCACCGAGCGATCGACCTCTGCGTGTTTATGGTCGCGCCGCCGCGCCAATTTGGCTGCGCTTACATGTTGGTCGCCACCAGGATTTCCAACGGCACTGGGTTTGGGAGTATCAGTTCTGGTTATCCTTCTGAGTGGCTGCCCGCTCGCTCGCTTCGCTTGCCGTTCCTTTCCTGCTGCCTAGTCGCGGCCCGACAAGTGCTCGGACGGCTTTCGACCCTCCTCGCGAGCCTGTTGACCAAAAAGTACCCCCACCGGTTGCAATGGTGGGGTGCACCTCCACGCGGTTGCTCATGAGTGGCCCCTCCGCGATATACCGTTGGCCTCTCCGAGCTGTCTGGCCCGTCCACCCTCCTGCGACTGTCCTACCGCAGGAGGTGCACGGGCTTCCCGCTGTACTACTCGCTCTGCGGCTGTTAGTTAGCTGCGACCGCCACCCACGGTACGTCCGTGACCTTCGGCGCTCCCCCCAGGGCGCTGGGGCCAGCAGGCACTGAACTTCCTGGGCCGTCTGGCCCGACCTCCTCTTGCGGTTGTCCCCCCGCAGGAGGTGCACGGGCACGCCCGCTGACTTCACTATCTCTGCGGCTGTTAGCTGCGACCGCCATCCACAGTACGGCCTTGACACTCGGCGCTCCCTCCAGGGGCGCTGGTCGGCGGCCTGTCCGGGCCACATGGCCCGTCCATGTTCCTGCGGCTGTCCCCCCGCAGGAGGTGCACGGGCTTACCCACTGTTAGCTCCTACGCTGGATCTGCTCAGGGGTCAGGACTCGCCCGCGGTGCGCTGCTTGATTGGCCAGGATGCTTCCCGACTGGGCGTCTTCTGGATGGAGGCTATCACCCAGCGCTGGTTTACGCTCGCGTATGTGGATGTGGTCTCGCGACACCGCGCCGTCGACTGCGGAGGGGCGTAGGTTCTGCATTCGGAACATGCAGCCACAACGCCGCGGAGAGGTATGGCGGGGTCGTCGTTGTTGCCATGTGGCTGCCTTCGGACCCACCGCCATTTTGGCTCGGTGCTGGCCTTCGCCTGGTCCGTTAGAGTTCTGGTTGAGCGCGCCCCGCCGTTTCGTCGCATTTGTCCTTTACTCCTTGCACGCGCTCGGTTCCGTTTTAGGCCGCATAACTTAGCTCATTGCTTCGGCATCTTCCTGACGGCGCGCGGCTCTTCCGCTTGCGCTCGCGAACCCAAAAAAGGCCCCCCCCCACCAGTCGCAATTGTGGGGTGCACCACGTGGATTGCTCATGAGTGTTTTAGCTCTCTTGCCCAACAACCTGAGGTTGCCACTCTGTTGGCGCGTGACACAGGTACGCTGGGCTGCTTGCTCAGCACCACGCTATGCCGTGCTTTGCTCGGGTAGCTCGTTTACCTCTGGCGCCTGGCGCGACAAGGTACAATTCGTGTGCATTCCCGGTGGTCTCGCCTTTGGAATGGTGGCACTTCAGCCGCCTGGCACACCTGGCACCTCCTGCAGCTCTGCCTTCAGTCCCCGGCGTCGCTCCTCGGCGGCAATTCCGGCGGCCGTTAGTCCGCGCGCTTAGGTAATTAGGTTTGTTTCGTAGCCTGGGCTGACTTCGGACGCCGCCTGCGCTTCCGCTTGCGGCCGCGACGGGAAAATATCCCCACCAGCACCAGCCGATCCAGACACAATCGGACGCTATCTTGAGGCCTCTTGGAGGCTATCGTGAACCATGTTCGGCTGGAGGCTGTCGGAGGTGTTCCTGGGCCATGCTCAGCTATCTTGGACCGTCGTGTGGCTGGCGTGAGGCCTAGCTATTGGGGGTCTGTCGGAGGCTATCTTAACCCATGGTCGACCTCCTAGGACCATTTTGGGGGGTAGGAGGAGGAATATGAGGATGATGCGGAGGAGGAGAAGGAGGAACAAAAAGAGGAGGAGGAGGAGGAGGAGGAGGAGGAGGAGGAGGAGGAGCAGCAGGAGAACGAGGTGGGGGAAGAAAAGGAGGAGGAGGAGGAGGAGGAGGATGGAAGGAACGGACGATGACAAGGAGGATGAGAAGCCGGGCTTTGGAGGTACGTTGTTGTGAGAGGTTCTCGAAGGACGACGAAGACCATCTAGGGGTTCCCTTAGGGCCCCCGAGGGGCGTCTTGGGGCACTCTCGGGGCTCATGTTGGGGGTTTGGGGGCCTTCTTGGGGCTCCTTGGAGGGGTTTGTGAGGCCTCGTGGGGCCACCTTGGCCCCCATGCGTAGAGATGAGGGGGGGGGGAGTTCAGGTCCCCCCGTGGAAAGCTCAAAAATTAGGTCTTGAGGCCCTTTTGGGCCGCTCTTGGGGCGCTTCTGGGCGCTCTTGGGGCCCTCTTGTGGCCATCTTGGGCCCATATGGGGGCTCTATTGGGCCGTCTGGGGGCCAGCGCAAGGCCCCCAGAGCCCATCGGAAGCGAAAAGGCGAGAAGGCAAACAACATCGATGTTCCTTCGGTTTGGGAGCCAGTTTGGCCTCTTGGGGGAGTCCTTGTGGAGGGCTCGGAGGGCACGTGAAACCGTCTTGGGGCCGTCTTGAGGCCTCTTGAATGTTTGTCGGAGGCTACCCTGAGCCATCTTGAGGTATCTTGAGCCATCTTGGAGGCTCTCTGAAGCCCTCTTGGAGCCATCTTGGGCGATCGTGGGCGCTCGAACCCCTCGAGGGGCGCCCCGTCCAGACCCAGGGGAGGGGGCAGGGGGAGGGGTAAACCCCTCCCCCGAGCAGGGGAAGGAAGGGTTTTTGGCAGGGAGAAGACACAATTCTGGTGGGAGTGCTTCAGACGCGGCGGTAGGACAGGAGGGAACTGGGCAGGGCAGGGCAGGGCGGGACAGGATCGTACCGGACAGCCCAGAGCAGGAAGGGAGACAGCAAGGGCAGCTCAAGGCAGCCCACACAGCAATGGACAGGACAGCACAGAGAAGAGGGGAGGGTACATGGAGATGCCATTGTATAACAGGATTCGGCAGGACCGGGCAGGCACAGATATGGCAGGACAGGTGAGCCCGGAAGGACGTCGACGCGGGGACGGTGGAGGAGAAGGAAGAGGAGGAGATGGAGGAGGAGGAGGAGGAGGGAGGAGGAGGAGGAGGAGGAGGAGGAGGAGGAGGAGGAGGGAGGAGGAGGAAGAGAAGAAGAAGAAGAGAAAGGAGGATGAGGGAGAGCAGGATGGTGAGGGGGAGGAGGAGGAGGAGAGGAGGAGGAGGAGGAGGGGAGGAGGAGGGGGGGAGGAGGAGGAGGAGGAGGAGGAGGAGGAGGGAGGAGAGGAGGAGGGAGGAGGAGGAGGAGGAGGAGGAGGAGAGGAGGAGGAGGAGGGGAGGAGGAGGAGGAGGAGGGAGGAGGAGGAGGAGGAGGAGGGAGGAGGAGGAGGAGGAGGAGAGCCCAGGCTGAGTCGTTTGCAGAGCCGCGGAACTTCTATATGAAATGTCACGAGAGCGCTCGCCGGCGTGCTGGCGAACACCTGCCCTGGCATTGGGGCCAGGAGCGGTGGTTCAGCAGGCGGGACAGAGGCGGGAGGGCGAGCAGGAGGGCTCCCAGAGCCAGACGTGCCAGCACGTGTGAGTTCAGCGTCAGTGTCCTTCTTCCCGTGCTCCCCTCATCCTCCTCCTCCTCCTCGTCCTCCTCCTCCTACTCATCTACTCATCTACTCATTTCCCCTACTCCTCTCCTCCATCCTCCTCCTCCTCCTCCTCCTCCTCCTCCTCCCTCCTCTCCTCCTCCTCCTCCTCCTCCTCCTCCTCCTCCCCTCCTCCTCCTCCTCCTCCTCCTCCTCCTCCTCCTCCTCCCCTCCCCTATCTCCTCCTCCTCCTCCTCCTCCTCCTCCTCCCCTATTCTCCTCCTCCTCCTCCTCCTCCTCCTCCCCTATCTCCTCCTCCTCCTCCTCCTCCTCCTCCTCCTCCTCCTCCTCCTCCTCCTCCTCCTCCTCCTCCTCCTCCTCCTCCAAGCGTGCGTCTGTCCTGCACGGGGCGCTGAGGACCCCAAGGACTTTGTAGACGTGGAGACCGCGTCTCTGCTGCAGCTGCACAGGGCGACAATGGAGAAAGACTTTGCGCTCGAGAGGGAGGCCCTTGGCTCCAGGAGCCCCGGCCTGGCTCTCAACTGTAGCCCTGAGGGCTTCGGGGGCGGCAAAGAGGGGGTGATGACTAGGGGGGGGGATATCATGGCGTGGGCCATGATATTTCCCTTGATTCCATGGCGTCTCTTCTCATTTCATTACGTCCCTGGCCCCCCCGCTGGGCCGCGCACGTGCCGCCGGTCATGATTTGCACCGCCCCCCTCTTGGACACCCCCCTCTTGGCCGCTCCCGAGGGTTGCGGTCGACTGGCTCGCCGTCGCAGGCGCGCGCAGTGCCGCGCCGCAGCTGGGGAGAGAGGGCCCCCCTCGTCGCCACGGCTGGGCGCGGCTCGAACAGACTTTAAGCAGATGTGCTGTCGTTCCCCCCTCTTTCTGAACAGATGCTCTAAGGACCCATCCAGCGCTGACCTCCCCCAGCCGCTTTCGACCACGATCGGGCGTCCTAGGCTCGGAGGCTTTCATGCGCGCTTCGATCAGCGCAGTGTGCGGGCGAGGAGGCGCAAGTGTGACCGCGTGTGCAAGGAAGCATGGTAGCTGTGCAAGCACATGGTGTGATCTACGATGCGTTTCAGAAGTTGATGAGAGAGAGTGAGGGGGGAGACGACGACGACGACGACGACGACGACGACGACGACGACGACGACGCAACATCAGTGTCAGCATGTGCGGCATCGCCAGCGAATGCCGAATGCCCAATCAGCGCTTGCACTGGAGGGGTCCTGGCGAAAGTTGCGCACCGATTTCGGTGGGCGGCTGGGTTATTGGTTCCGGGTTCCTGGCCGATTTCGGTGAGAGGCGAGGTTCTCGATTCCAGGTCAGGGTTCTTGGCACGGCAAGTCCCCCAGTTTCTCGAGATCTTAGTTCTGGCCAAGTACCTTGGCCTCTGCGACCACAGTCGGAATAATATCGTATTTCTAGAGAGTAGAGAGGGCAAGTCAGAGAGTAGAGAGCAGAGTTGAGCATGGAAGACAGAGGGTAGAGGTTAGATGAGAAAGAACCGAGCGCCTCGAGAGGGTATATATAGAGGTGGGAAGAAAGAGAAGAGAGAGAGAGAGAGAGAAAAGGAGTAGGAAGAGAGAGCGAGAGAGAGAGAGAGAAACAAAAAAAAAAAAAACTTGCGACCACGGTCAAACGTTTCCCAAAACAGTGTTTGCACCTAGGGAGTTTCATGTCTTTTCTAGTGAATTGGGCCTGGCTGGCGGTCTGGCGGCTCCGTGCTCGCCGTCGCCACCTCTTCGCCGCCTGATCGCCGCCCATCGTCTGGGCCTGGCTGGCGGTCTGGCGGCTCCGTGCTCGCCGTCGCCGCTCCGTCGCCTCCTAAGCGCCGCCCGTCGTCTGGGCCTGCCTGGCGGTCAGGTGGCTCCGTGCTCGCCGTCGCCGCGTCGCCGCCGCCCATGCTTGCACCGCACAGACAGCACAACGTAGATGGCACCACACAGGTGGCACCACATGGATTGCACACTATAGAGTGCACTAAATTTCAAGGGCGTTAAAAACGTCCCTACCTTGGTTTACGAGGAGCTGTGCGCCGAACCTCTTGTGGGCTGGGGGGTGCAAACCCTGCATATCGCGAGTGTCGCGCGGCGTCCCGGCGGCTCTCTGGCCTTTGGGCGCTCCCAGGAGGTTGACGGACCACGCACTTATAACCCAGGGTAGGGGCGTTCTTGCATCCCTCAAACATTGACTGCACAACATGGATTGCACAGCTTATATAGCACTACGTAGATTGCACCACATCGGCTGCACCACATGTGTTGCAGCATGGACTGCCAGAAACATAGCGCTCGGGGCCCACGCTGGTGAACATCTCTGCACTTTTGCATAACGAGGTATCTCGTCGGTGTTACACATAGAAAAGGGTGCACACCAAAAATATATAAAGCCGAGTTGATTCGGACAAAAAGAGGGTGTGTGTACAGAGAGAGAGAGAGAGAGATAAAAAAAAAAAAAAAAAAAAAAAAAAAAAAAAAAAAAAAAAAAAAAAAAAAAAAAAAACTGAAAAAAACGAGGGAAGCCAACATAGAGAACACAGCGCAGAGCGAGTGGAGAGAGCAGAGAAAGTCAACAACTGGCGAGAGAGAGAGAGATAAAGAGAGAGAGAGAGAGAACCTGCAAGACAGAAAGAGAGAGAGAGGGAGAAAGAGAAAGAAGGGGGGAGGCGTGGAGTGCTTTCGAAGGCTCCTCCTCCTCCTCCTCCTCCTCCTCCTCCTCCTCCTCCTCCTCCTCCTCCTCCTCCTCCTCCCCCTCCACGGGTTGAGCGTTTGCATGGAGAGCGCTTGCACTGAGGATTCCTTAGCCCGGTGGACTGCGGAGTTTGACGAGCCCGTCGGGGTGCCACGCGGTGCCCACCCGGGGGCTCCTCGCGGGCGCTTCGTGCGAGGGGCGGGTCCGCCAAGCCTTCGCGTGGATGCCTCCCGCGGGCGCCTCGTGGGCGCCTCGTGCGTTGGGCGGGTCAGCCGAGGGTTCGCCGGTTGTCCGCCCGTTGGCGCCTCGTGGGGCGCCTCGTGCGCCGGGCGGCCGCGCTGCGTGCAGCACAGCCTGTGCCACATGGCCAACACATCCGCAGTGCAATAGCTTACTGCTTGGGGCCCGCGCACACGAGCACTATCCGGCGCAGTAGCAGCCGCCACGAGCATTCGTACTTCCTCTAGGGGTATGGGAACAGCACCATCAGAAGCAGCAGTAGCAGGAAAAAAGTGGGCGCAGCATCAGCACCAGCAGGAGCAGCATAAGCTGAGTACGCCGTAGTTGCGAGATATGGTGCACATGCAGTGGAAGTGCTACCAAGTGCGGTAATGGTTGCAGTGGGGTAGGTCACAGCCGCAAGTGTACTAGAATCGGGTCGTGTCTGGCAGCAATTTCACTTGTAGTTGTAGCCGCGATCGCACGTATACGTAGAGGTATACTTGTAGTTGTAGATGAAGTTGCAGATGCAGCTGAAGTTGTAAAGGTAGCTGTTGGTAGTAACAAGAGTAGTGGCAGTAACGAGTAGTGGTCGTGATAGTGTACCACGAGTAGCAGCACTAGTGTTAGCATACCTGCTGCCGCCGTAGTGGATCTGTCTGATTTGCCTGTGATGCTATGTGCTACAACCACCGGCCAGGTCCGCGAGCTCGGGGGCGGCGCACTTTTCACAGATTCCCTCTCTTGCACTGCTATGTAGCCCCCCTGGCTTGGGGCCTGTGGGGTGTGCCCAGGAACCCCATAGTCCTTTCCAGGCGGCCCACGAGGGCACCAGGAACGCTTCAAGACACCACCAGTGGCCCCGACAACCCCCCCTCCCGAGAGCTTTCAGCCACCCCAGCACAGCACATCAGAGGCCAAAAGCTGCCTCCAGCGGGCTGCCGCCCGGGCATGGGTTCCCCATGGTTCAACAAGTCGCAACAAGTCGGAAAAGGCGAATTGTGGGAAACCAGGGGCGCGCGGCGTGGTCAGTATTTTTCCCGAAATTCGAATCCCGAATTATGGGAAGTCTGGAGCCATTACAAAAAAGGTTATGTTTTTTGTGGTGATTCTACTTTTCCCATAATTTGTAATTATGGGAAACGTGGAATCACCACAAAGAAGGGTGTGCTTTTGCGGTGATTCCAGGTGTCGCACAATTCGAAGTTATGGGAAACCTGGAATCACCACAAAAAAGAGATGGTTTTCGTTGTGAGTCAAGGTTTCCCATACTTCGAAATTGTGGAAAACTTGAAATCACAACAAAAAAGGGGGTCATGGTGATTCCAGGTTTCCCATAAGTTTCATTTCAGGTTTCCCATAATCGAATTAAGAGAAAACCCGAATCACCATGAAAACCTGTACTTTCTGTAGTGCTTCCAAATCTCCCACTGGACTCACCACAAGAAACAAATTCGCTGTGATTCCATACTCCAATAATTTGAATCATGAGAAACCTGGAACCACAACAAGGAGTTCTACCCTCCAGGGGTTCCCGGGCAGTCGTTCGGCCATGGGCTTCCCATAACTATTCCGGCCCCCGGAGACAAGGACACAGCCTGACCAGGACAATGGCAAGTCGGGGAAACGGTACCCTTTCCTGCAAAGTCCGATTTGGTCGTCCAGTGCAGGTTTTTGTTGCTGCTCTGCAGGATTCGGGTCGCTGTCTGGGTCTAGGGTGTGTTCTGCATCTTTGGAGGCCTGTGTCCGGGTTTATTCCGGAAGTGTTGCAGTGCAGTTTTTGTTTCGTGCCGCCGTTTGGAACAAATAGTTGCGAGGGATGTTGGATGTCTTGGTCTAGCGTGTCCAGGTCTACGGAGCCCTGAACAAGTCGGAATTATGCGAAACTTGGATATGGGAAACCTGGAATCACCACAAAAGGAGGAGTTTTCGTGGTGATTCTAGGTTTCCCATAATTCGCAGGCCTGCGAATTGTGGGAAACTTGGAATCACGAAGAAACAAACGCGTTTGTGATGATTCCAGGCTTCCCATAATTCCGACGATCCGAAACCCATAGGCGGCAAAGAGCAAACAACTTGCTGGGTGTTCGGAGTCCCTTGACTCCATAGCCGAAGTGTCACTCACGCTTAGCCCGACGTCCCAACGGCCCCCAACAAGATCCCAAGATGGCCTGGAGAATCCACAGGAGCTGCTTCTAGGCACACAACCTGTTCCAAGAGGCGCCCCAACAGAGGCCCCGAGAAGCTGCAAGACATCCCAGACGGCAAAAATCATGGAACCGCACTTTATCTTGCGAGTCGCGAGTTTGACGTGCGCGCCGGTCCCACCTGGACCTCCACTACAGTCGGGGCCCTGCAGAAGGAACCCTTTTCGTTGGGGAGGGGCTCGGTGCTCCTTGCTTGTTCTGCAGTGTACCGTCGGTTCTCCTGAGGTTTCCCATGGGAAATCGAAGTTCAACTTATGGGAGAAAGGGGCCTCGTTCCTTATTGGAGAGGCCTGACGGCCGGTGCCGCC